CAATCTATGATGGAGGCTATGTAGACAGATAATAAAGGCCATTAAAAACTCAGCTTACAAGATGCACTTCAAGCTACCATGGTCAGGAAAGGCTGCTGCAAAATGTCCATGAGCCTTCATCCCTCTTGGACTGATGAGTGTACAGAAGGAAAACATCTTTTCACCAGGTCAAAGGATGGAAGTGAGAACACATGAAGAGAAAATGTACCTTTCCAGCTCCTTAAAAACAAGGATTAAAATCCAGATCCTTTATTATGTGGAATGTTCTGGTGTCTCTTTTCCCTCCCCCGCCCCCACCTGTCACCTCCTTCCTATCTCTTAGATTTGTTCAGCAGTTCTTAACCCTGGTTGAACATCAAAATCCCTGGGAAGTTTGTGAAAAAATTCAGTGCCCCGCTGACAAAACAGGCCAGTTAAGTAACAGTCTCTGGAGTTGGGCCCCAAACACCTGGTGTTAAGACCTGCAGTTCTGCCAGTCGGCTCTATATTTTGACCTATGTTTGGAATTATCTTCTACTCCACATCATATGGAGTCATGTCATTTTAGAGCTCTTATGATGTCCAGTTCTTTCATTTTACCAATGAAGAAACTGGTCTAAGGAGATTAAAATCACATAGCTATCTAGGGATACAGCTAAGACTAGAACCCTTCTCTTGAGTAGTAATCAAGCTGGATAGACTAGATAAGAGAATGGTGAGCTAACACCAGCACTACATCCCACCAACAGAAAACAGGACGGAAGCACATGACGTTGAGTAATCAGCATGGAAGGACAGCCAGCTGTCAGGCAAAAGTGGACAAAGCTGAAGTCCTACAAACATGTTTGGCAAGGGTAATTCAGACGTCATTCAGGAATAGCATACAACAATGCCTGTCAAACTTTAGTGTGCACAAGAATCAACTGAGAGCTTATTAGAAATTCATCTTCCTGGGTCCTACTCCAGTGAGTCTGGCTCAGTTTTCTTGGGTTGGGCCAGAGAAGGGGCATGTTTAACAGGTTACCCAGGTGATTCTGATGCAGGTGATCTGAGGACACCCTTGCAGTTTAGGAAGCACTAAACATTGAGGTAGAAGATTGATGATGGCTTCCCAGAAACAGGCTCTTTGACCACTAGACAATGAAGACTCAGGAGTAGCATGGTTACTGGTCTGTATCTACCACCAGTAGGAAGTCAGAACACACAAGATAGGGGAGAATAACACAGAGATCACCCCTGCAGAAATGAGTTAAGTTTAGAATTTATAATTTAAAGATTGATAGCAGCCAAAAGTGACTCATCAGTATTTCTGTCTTCAGTTGTAATCATCTGGGGGAAAGACGGTTTTTGAAAACTATACTCTCAGCCGGGCGCAGTGGCTCATGCCTGCAATCCCAACACTTTGGGAGGCCGAGGCGGGCAGATCACTTGAGGTTGAGTTCATGACCAGCCTGGCCAACATGGTGAAACCCCGTCTCTCCTAAAAATACAAAAATTAGCTGGGGTGGTGGCGCATGCCTGTAATCCCAGCTACTTAGGAGGCTGAGGCAGGAGAATCACTTGAACCCGGGAGGCGGAGATTGCAGTGAGCCGAGATTGCACCACTGCACTCCAGCCTGGATGACAGAGCGAGACTCCGTCTCAAAAAAAATAAATAAATAAAAACCACCACCAACAAAACCATACTCTCCTAATGGCCCAACTCTGTAACACAAAACCAAAAAGTATAGTGATGCTATTTCTATATTGTTTTCAAATTTGCAAATCATATTTAATATAGATTTCTGTTTCAACCTCCAGTACTCTTTAGGTAGATAGAATAGGATGATATTTCCTCTGCTTTACTGATGAATTAACATGCCGGAGCTCACCTATGTGGCAGAGAGGAGGCTAAAGCTACATTTTCTAAATCTTTTTGTAGTGGAAGCAAAATAATGTGGTATAGACTATGAGCTTTGGAATCAGGCAGACCTGGGTGCAATCTTAGTTCCATTATAAGCAATGTGACCTTGAACAACTTACTTTTTCTCTGAATTTAAATTTTCTTATCTGTAAAATGGAGATAATAGTACTTTCCTCCTGGGGTTGTTAAATGAGATAATTTTAAAAATATGCCTGGCACATAGTTGCTGGGTAAATGTACCACCTCAAGGACAAGTCGAAAAAAACAGCTTAAGAAATGAGAATTTAGCTTAAGGAACACATGCCAAAGTTGAGAGCTGATCCCAATTAATGAGTAGAATATTGATGGAATTTTGAGTTTGTGGGTTGCTTAGCAACCAAAACTCTCTCAATACCACTGACTGCCGGAGTTGTTGTTTTTAATCAAAGCACTAAACTGTTCTTAAGGAGTTCAAGGTTGTGAACAGACAAAAGGATTCCCTTATGCATTTGGGGTTGTGCCAGGCATTTTGAAAAAGTGATGCCCCAGCTCCTCTGTGTTTTTGCACTTAAACATCTTGGACATTTGGATCTCCCCAGTTCTGTGCCCATAGATGACAGAAGATGTTACAACATCTGTTACATTGGATAGAGTGAGAAGGGAGAAGGCAAAGTGCTTGCACTTCTATACCAATGTATTAAGCCAAACTTATGGAATGCTAGGGCTCAGAAATACAAAAGCATTTGTCTTTGCCCCTGCTGCCCTTTAGAATTTCAGTCTAGGAGAGGAAACCAGTCAATATTGAATAATACAGCAAATTATTCATGAGCAGCTCTCTGTGTCCCCAGCAATATTCTAAGAGTTACAAACTGAACAGTACAAGAACATATTAGGGTAAGTCTGAAATATCCATGGTTAGGATTTTTATTTTCTTGGCAAAGCAGCCCTGGAAGAATATCCCAGTTAGGTTCCCCAAAACATTAATATTTGATTCACAGTCTTGAGAGCTGGCACTGAATGTTGGAGAGGGTCTAAAGAGGGGTGGAGGGGAACTGGAGCTCCATGCCACCACCTCTTTTACCTGAAGCCAGAGACTCAACCAAACTGTGCCCTTCTTTTCTCATTTGTAAGCTGGGTGTAATGATTCAGATTCTGCCTCCCTCGTGGCAATGAGTGTGATGCAATGAGATAATAAATGCGTAAGTTCTATTGCAATAAATGCAGTTTCTAGCTAATTTGCCAGCAGGTTTACATTGCATGTCATTGAGCATCGTTGTATCTTCATTTACATTTCCTATTCCTGTATAACTCATAATCTTAACAATTTAAAGAGAAAAAAAAAACAGATGAGCTTGGAACAACTGTGCTTATTTGCACTTGAGTTTGTCTTCATCATTTGTAGCTCAGTGTGCTAACTTCTTTTGCAATGAAGATCAACTTTAGTGCTTAGGAAAGAAATGCATTGTGCCACTTTGGCATGTGAACATTTATTTACACAAAACATGACCTCAGGCCTACAGGCCTTTAAGGCAGACAGCTGGTTGATGAATCATGTTGAACATTCATATAGTGCTGCTGGCACATGTCAGAAGGACACTCCTGCTCATCACCTGCCCCTGTCAGTTCTTCCACTTCTAATAAAGCATATCTGTTTTGGTGACCAAATAAAAACACACCAAGTGGAGAAGGGCTGGGTGTGGAGTAATTTAATCAGGGCAAGTCAGCACACTGCATTGAGCGGTACAGTATCAAGGATAAAAAGATGGGTTGGTAACAGCTGAATGAAACGAAGTAGATTAGAAAAGGCGGAAGCACAGTTCCCCTTATAATCATAATGGGTCATGACCCTGGAATGTAGGAGCCCCAATATATCCTACAAATCAAGATTTTTAAGGAGACAGGATTCCCAAAAGTTCCCTTTTGAATTGCCACGAACGTTTTACATGGCCTTTCTCTATTAGCATCATTTAACATTTCGCTGAGGAATATAAATTTTTAAGGAAGTTCAAACCAAAGTTCAGAGCTCCACTAGCAAATCTTTTTAATACTGGTTTTCGTGGGTGTGTTTGGTATCCTGAAGAATTGATTGATTTAAAATGCCCTAGTTTTGAAACAGCAGGGAGACTGACATTTGCAGCCTGGTATTTTGCAGTTCTCACTACTCATTGTATTTTTAAAATAATTTTTTCTTTGTTGTCATAGCCAGTAGAATAGAATTTTGCGCTTTGTTTAAAAGAGGAGAAACTGAACATGTTCAGGATGCTGGCCTGTCTTGAATTTCATCACCATCATCTCATAGATTGATTGGTGGGGAGAATAATTAGGGATATGCAGGATGTTTGAAACATAATTGAAAACAAGTAAAAACAACAATATGACTGTAAGTTGTAAGTCTTAAGTTTTTTTTTTTTCTTTTTTTTTAAATGATTCACCTGGCAGTGTTCTTAAAGTCCTTACTTACTGAGAAAAGAATCACTATCTAAGATGAAAAATCAGGAACTTCAACAACAGCTCCTTTATTTCCATTTCTACTTCTGTTGGTGATTACACTGTTCCATTTTTACTCCAGCTAAGTCATTTTCACCTCTGTGTATTTTTTCCCTGATGGGGCAAGATCTGTGATATCTGATAGTTTATTAACAGGTGTGCTGGAAATAATCTATTTCAAAAATAAAACACTAAATATAGCACGCAAGTTCAAGGCTTTTGAATGTTACCATGGTTTTAAAAAAATCAATGTCATGAATGCTTTACAGTGAAATCATTTATTGTTAGGAAACCGGGTGGCAAATGATACATATATCCTGTAGCTCTGTCATCATGGCGAATGCTCTCCTGACTCAGATTACACATTAGCATTTCCACCATATGGCTGAAAGGCTAGAGAATATATGTGCAGAGGAACAGAGCTGGTAATATTTTTGACCATCTGGTAAATAAATACGTAAGTAACAGAAATATTAATATTTAATTAGTCATATGATGCAAAGCTTAACCTGAAATAACTACTAATACAACAAAGTAGTACTACATTTATGTTTCTCAAATAATTTCAATCTAATTTATTAAACATTTTCATAGTCAATTAATGCTCTTAGAATGTGACTTCTAATTATGTTTTTTATGTTTATTGATACAGTAGGGTTCCTTATCATGCCAAATTTAAAAATCTTTCATGAGAGGCCACATGATTGGACCCAGCACATGGACATGAGTGCCAAAGTTCTGCTCTGCCAGTGACCACTGTGTGGCCTGGGATAAATTACCTGACCTCTCTAAGCCTCAAATTCATGTGTAAGTGGTGAATAACCTATTATCAGATAGTATCTCTCAAAGGGTGGGCCATGGAGAACCATGGATTAACACATCAGAATCACATGGGGAGCTTAAAATACAAACATCTGGGCCCCGCCTGCAACGATTCTGATTCATGTATCTGGAAGCAGTCCATGAATCTGCAATTTATATATATACATATATACACACACACACACACACACACACATATACGTGTGTGTGTAAATATATATATATATTTTAATACAGAGTCTTACTCTTTCACCTAGGCTGAAGTGCAGTGGTGCGATCTCGGCTCACTGAAGCCTCTGTCTCCCAAGTCCAAGTGATTCTTGTGCCTCAGCATCTTGAGTAGCTGGGATCCCAGGCGCACGCCACCACGCCCGGGTAATTTTTATATTTTTAGTAGAGACGGGGTTTCGCCATGTTGGCCAGGATGGTCTCAAACGTCCGGACTCAAGTGATCCACCCGCCTCAGCCTCCCAAAGGGATAGGATTCCAGGCACACGCCACCTCGCCCGGCCCACATTTTTAGTCACTGTCCCAAGTGATTCTGAGGTATACTGAATCACTCCCATAGAGACGAGATTAATATAGAGCACTTAGCTACCTTGAAAAATATGTAGCTAATTTTAATAAATATACTTTTTAGACCATAGAAATTTAACACCCAACAGCACTTGTGCTTAAAATACTCTGAGTTCGGCCGGGCGCAGTGGCTCACGCCTGTAATCCCAGCACTTTGGGAGGCTGAGACGGGCGGATCACGAGGTCAGGAGATCGAGACCATCCTGGCTAACACGGTGAAACCCCGTCTCTACTAAAAAATACAAAAAACTAGCCGGGCGAGGTGGCGGGCGCCTGTAATCCCAGCTACTCGGGAGGCTGAGGCAGGAGAATGGCGTAAACCCGGGAGGCGGAGCTTGCAGTAAGTTGAGATCCGGCCACTGCACTCCAGCCTGGGCGACAGAGCGAGACTCCGTCTCAAAAAAAAAAAAAAAAAAATACTCTTGATTTCATAGAAAATAGGAGGTCAGCTTGCTAAGTAATGCTGCTGATCATTAAGTATACCTCACAATTCTCCTTTTTGTTTAATTAGATCCTTTATCTTTTTTTCCCTTGCATAGGAAATAGCAAAATATTTGTGGACTGGATCCAAATCAGGAGCCCAGATGAACTTAAAGAAGCGAGCCTGGGATTCTTAGTTTTTCAAGATCCATACACACGAAGCCTTTAATCAGCACCAACTCCAGTGTCCAAGTTTTCTCTGGTTTTGTGAAGACTGAGCAAAACTCTCATGATGGAAAGAAAACCAAAGGACTTAGTTACCTGTTTCAGTGTCATCTAAAGTCAACTGAAAAGTGAAGCAGGCAGTAATATAGCCATGGAAAGAAATTCAACTTTATGGAAGAACCTAATAGATGAACACCCAGTCTGCACAACCTGGAAACAAGAGGCCGAAGGAGCCATTTATCATCTTGCCAGTATTTTGTTTGTAGTAGGTTTCATGGGTGGCAGTGGATTCTTCGGGCTCCTTTATGTCTTCAGTTTGCTGGGGTTGGGTTTTCTCTGTTCTGCTGTCTGGGCTTGGGTAGATGTCTGTGCAGCTGACATATTTTCCTGGAATTTTGTACTGTTTGTCATCTGCTTCATGCAATTTGTTCATATTGCATATCAAGTTCGCAGCATAACCTTTGCCCGAGAATTCCAAGTGCTGTACAGCTCCCTTTTCCAGCCCCTGGGGATTTCTTTGCCTGTCTTCAGAACGATTGCTTTGAGCTCTGAAGTGGTTACTTTGGAAAAGGAACACTGTTATGCCATGCAGGGGAAAACTTCCATTGATAAACTCTCCTTGCTTGTTTCAGGAAGGTTTGTACCTTTGGTGCTTGCATGTCTTTCCTCAAGTATTAGTTGTTTGTATTTCTTTCCACTATATTTTTCCATCTCAGTATTGCATAGTCTTGGGTGGCATTTAGCACCCTGAGGCTTGAGGAAGTCTTTGATACATGAGTCACAGACATAGCCGTTTAGAGTATACGGCATTATTTACTTGAAGCAGAAATAATCAAGAGCCTTAATATTTCATCTTAGACATCAAATTACATGAATCTTAAAATTAAAGTATGAATTTGTTTATCTGGATATGGTATTTGTTTCTTAGATAATTACTGAAAGTCAAGAAGAGGATGATGTCAGCTTGAATTAATAGAATGCTTATATTGGCATGCAAAGTATTTTAAAGACTCTTTGATAGGGCATTCTTTTAAGTAACAGAGAACATTTAAATTTTATTATTATCTTTTTTTCTTCAGTAAATTCTAGCAATTGCCCATAAGCAGCAGGCTAGGGGGACACTTCAGGCACATACATAGAAATCTAAACTTTGAAAACAGGCCAGGTGTGGTGGCTCACACCTATAATCCCAGCACTTTGGGAGGCCGAGGCAGGATAATCACCTGAGGTCAGCGGTTCAAGACCACCCTGGCCAACATTGTGAAACTCCCATCTCTACTAAAAATACAAAAACAAAATTATCCAGGCATGGTGGCATGTGCCTGTAGTCCCAGCTACTCGGGAGGGTGAGGCAGGATAATTGCTTGAGCCTGGGTGGGAGGCGGAGGTTGCAGTGAGCTGAGATTGCGCCACTACACTCCAGCCTAAGCAACAGAACGAGACACTATCTCAAAAATAAACTTTGAAAACAAAGTTTGGGAGAGGAAACAATAGTGGGATTACTCATGGTTTTCAAAAAGTTAAAACTTTGGCTTACAGGCCAAGCGTGGTGGCTCATACCTGTAATCCCAGGACTTTGGGAGGCCAAGGCTAGTGGATCACTTGAGGTCAGGAGTTCGAGACCAGCCTGGCCAACATGGTGAAACCCCATCTCTACTAAAAATACAAAAAACTTAGCTGGACATCGTGGTACACGCTTGTAATCCCAGCTACTCAGGAGGCTGAGACATGAGAATCGCTTCAACCTGGGAGGAGGAGGTTGCAGGGAGCCGAGATCATGCCACTGCACTCCACGCTGGGCAACAGAGTGAGACTCCGTCTCAAAAAATAAATAAATAAAAATTTGGTTGACAGAGGTACTTGCAGAACTCCTCTATGTTCTTAAATGTTTCCCTACTTAATGTAAAATCTGACAGAGTCCATTAAAACGTTTTATTGAAGCACAATATGCATGCATAAATAGATATATATCGTAAATGTACAACTTGCTGCATTTTCTGAATTTCACTCAATATTCCAGAATCCTGACTGTGTAAGGAACATAAGAACATGAATCTCACAGGATATTATGTCACTTATTATAATGTATGAATTTAATATTTGCCTTTCAAAATCGTAAAGGGCAAAAGAGTCATCAGGGATCTGAAATACACTTCCTGTACCCCCTACCCCTCCCCAGTTATGTGCTCTCTTTCTCTTTCCCTTATAAATGTTGTTCCTGTGTTTTGATAGGATCAGAGTGACAGTTGATGGCGAATTTCTGCATTACATTTTCCCCCTTCAGTTCCTGGATTCTCCTGAGTGGGATTCACTGAGACCCACAGAGGAAGGCATTTTTCAGGTAAGGGATACCAGACCACACAGTTAGCACTCCCTCTTTCAAACAGATGTTTGTTTAATAATAGGTAACCAAACAGAACAGTGGATAAGACAAGAATATTTTAAGACTTTAGAATGTACTTTGCAGCATACATGACTTCCCAATTCTGTTGGACTCCTGATGATTAATGCCACTTTATAGGTTCAGTGATGAGAAGAGCAGGTGCTACATATGACAGAAAGGAGGCTGTGACCAATACTTTAAGCTATACTTTGCATAACTGCATATTTAGGAATTAAAATACAATTGAGATTTGACTAAACACTGCTAATGCGACAGTCTAGAAAACATCAAGAACAAAAACTGCTCTTATTAAAAAATAAATGATTTTTAAAATTTAAAATGCCAGTGGATTTCACTTGTTTTCCAGCAACAGAATGCTAAACTTACCGTCATTACTGTGCTGCCACGTCTGGCAGTTTTGAAAGATAATCATTTCAGCAGGTTTCATTTATTTCGTTACACAGTTTTCTTATAAATATATGTGTGTATGCAGCAAACTCAAATATGTATGCAAATTAGGTATATACATTCTATTTTCTACTGCAGAAACTGCATTAGGGTTAAATGTCCGCAGTCTTCAGAATTGACTTGGAAATATTTCTGTAACATTAGCCAACTTTTTAAAAAAAATATCAAGTAGTTCTCCCTTCAATAAAAGAAATATAGATACTGGAACTTAGAAAAACAGATAGATTGAAGATAGCTAGAACATTTTGATTATTCATATTATAAATTATATATGTAGTAACAAATTTTATAGTTTCGATTTTTGCAATATATTGTAGGTCAGTGGGCTTTTTCAACCTAAAAAAGGCAGCAGGTGAAATTAACATTTGGGGTAGAAAAAATGTGGCAGAAGTTTTCTTGCTTCCACATCTGTTTATGTGTGGTCTTGTGTTTTCTAGGTAACCCTCACTGCAGAAACTGATTGTCGATATGTGTCTTGGAGGAGAAAGAAATTGTATCTGCTCTTTGCTCAGCATCGTTATATCTCCCGCTTGTTTTCAGTGCTAATTGGCAGTGACATTGCAGATAAACTCTATGCCCTGAATGACAGGGTATATATAGGAAAAAGATATCACTATGATATTCGGCTACCCAACTTCTATCAAATGTCAAGTCCAGAAATACGCAGATCACCCCTGACACAACATTTTCGGAATTCCAGACGATACTGTGATAAATGACATCAAAGTCTGAAATTTATAAGTATAAAAAGAGACTCTCTCTTCATCATTCCCCAAATGAAATAGGAAAATACAAAAAAAAGAGCTCCCTAATATTTTTATAAATCAAATTCAGAAGTCAGATACCATTGCTAACTGTTTTATTCCTTTCAGCAACTGCATTGTAAATAAATTTTACAAATTTTTCTTGTATTTCTTATTGTTATAATTGAGGAGGGGGTGGATAACTATGGGCAGTTTGCCCTTTTCTGCATCAAAACTGGGAGAATGAAATTCCACATTCTCAATTCTTTTCTCACATTTACTCAAATGCATTGTCTTGCCCTATAGACTCAGCGGTTGCTTCTCAAGAAGCAGCCAGCAAGTATTCTCAGCCTGAGGGTGGGTTGCTACTGTCCACATAAGCATTTCCAGAATTCACTTTTTTGCTACAACCTCCAGTGAAAGCAAGATGTATTACTGTGGTGGACAGCAATTATTTATTTTAAATGTGCAGTTACTTGATATGACTAAAAAGCAGAATAAATGCAAGAGATAATATGTGAATCTTGAAGCCTATTTTTATTGCTACAAAATAAAATAACATTTAAAAAGAAGCATTTCGTGGAAAACAAAGCTGCCTGATCATTACTAAAAGAGTACTCCTAAACCAATAGTAAAAATGTTGCATGGTGTTTCAGTTTCAGGTGTTCAGCGGAAAGAGCTTTCAGTGGTGTGAATGGGCAGCGAGGGTTCACCGGGACTGCACAGCCCATCACACAAACACAAGGGTCTGCCTCACAGCAAGTGCTTCAGCTTTGTGAATTTAAGAAAGAACCCTAGTTGCAGATCTGATCCCTTCCTCTGGAAAACTGGTTTTCTGAAGATCACATGCAGCCTATATTCTCTGATACATTATCAGATATTTAACAAGTGTATATTGAGCACCTTCTATGGCTCTAGGTGCTGACCTGGGCATGGGGATACATCAGGTAACAGATGGAGATCCCACCCCTCATAGAGCTTACATTCTGGGGATGTGGGAGACATAATAAAGTAAATCAGAAAAATCTATATTTAGAAGGTGATAGTACCAAGGGGAGTGATAAATTAGAGAAGATGGGTAAGCAAGGGCATTGCAATTTTCATAGGGTGGTCAAGGAAGGCCTCCACAAGAAGGAATGTTTGAATGAAGACCTGAAAGAGGCAATGGAAGAATCCATGCAGATATCCGGGGGAAGAGCAATTTGGGCAAAGGGGACAGCAACTGAGCAGGCCCTTAGGCATGAGCATGACTGGCCTGTTCCAGGAGCAGCTGGAAGGCTAGCGTGGCTGGCACAGAATGAACAGAAACTAACTGTGGGCGGACTGGGTAAGGCCTAAATAAGTCATGGTAAGGATTTTGATTTTTTTCTAAGAGTGACCAGAAGCCATTGTAGGGTCTGAAGTAGAAGAGTGATATGATCTGCCCCATGTTTTAATAGGATCACTCTGGCTAGCCTGCTGAGAATAGACTAGGGGGAGGAGAGAAAAGAGTGAACTTGGAAAGTAAAAAGAGGATTAAGAATGAGATGCCTGCTAGACACTGAAATAGAGTAGATAGCTAGAGATAATAGCCTGGAGTTCCAAAGAAAAGTCTGGGCTCTAGACAGCTTTGGGAGTATTTAGCATATACATGGTGTTTAAAGCCATTAGTCTCCATGAGATGGCCGAAAGAGTGAGTGTAGATTCCGAAGAAAAATGGTCTGAAGGCTTGCCTTGGAGCACTCCATTTTTAAGGGAACAAAGAGATGGGGAAGAGTCAGCAAAGGATTTGAGGAGGAGCAGCCAATGAGGTGGAAAGAAAATCAGGAGAGCCTGGGATCCTGGAAGCCAAGCAAAGAGGATTTCTGGGAGAAGGGAGTGATGAACTGTCTCAGATGTGGCTGAGAGGCCTGAGAATGAACCATTGGGTTAAGCAACATAGAAGTCATGGGGGAACTTAACAAGAGCAGTTTTGGTGGAGTGAGCAGGAATGAAGACTAAAGCAGGCTGAAGGAGAATGAGAGGCACAAAGTTGGAACAGTAAGGGTAGGTAAGTTTTTCAAGGAGTTTTGATGTGAACTGAAACAGAAACGGTCAACAGCCTGGGCAGAAAGTGGGGCCAAGAGAGGGGATAGTTACTGATTTTCAGATAACATGGCACATTTGCATGCAGATGGAAATGATCCAGAAGTGAGGAGTGAACTGCGGGAGTGATGACCTTGAGCAGGTGATGGGATCCAGTGGCCTTAAACAGAAATGTGGACAATTCTTCATTAATAAAAAGAGAAGAGTATCTGGGAGAGTAGTTGCTGGCAAGTGGGAGATGTGGTGAGAGGTTGTGGTATACAAACACAATTTTCAGCCACAGAAAATAATGAAATACTGTCATTTCCAACGACATGGATGGAACTGGAGGACAATATTTTAAGTGAAATAAGCCAGGTACAGAGAGAGAAATATTGCATGTTCTCACTCATTTGTGGGAGCTGGAAAAAAAAAAAACTGAATTCATGGAAATAGAAAGTAGAATGATGGTGACTAGATACTGAGAAGGGTAGTGGATAAAGGGGGTATGAAGTGGAATCGTTAATGGATACAAAAATACCATTAGATAGAATGAATAAGATGTAGTATTCAGTAGCACAATAAATAGGGTGACTATAGTTAACAACAAATTATTGCATATTTTTAATTATATTTTAATTATAATTATTTTATTATATTCATATTATATTATATTTATATATTTAATTATATTTTAATTATAAATTATTATTAAAATATAATTATTTTAAAATATAAAATATAATTATTAAAATATAATTAAAATAATTATAATTATTTAATTATAATGTTCCCAATGCAAAAAAATGATAAATGCTTGAGGTGACAGGTATTCCAATTACCCTGACTCAATCATTACACACTGTATACCTGTATCAAATACCACATGTACCCCAGAAATATATACAACTATTATGTACCCATAACAATTGTTAAATGTTTTAAAAAGATGTTTCTTGCCATTTTAGGCAGTTATAGTTTATTCTTCTTAATTTAATTAATTTATTTATTTTTGCAAAGAGGTCTCACTCCATCACCCAGGATGGAGTGCAGTGGCATGACCACGTCTCACTGCAGCCTAGAACTCCCAGGCTCAAGTGACCCTCCCACCTCAGCCTCCCAAGTAGCTGCAACTACCATGGTATGTGCCACTATGCCCTGCTAATATTTTTTTAAGAGATGGGGTCTTGCTATGTTGCCCAGGGTGATCTTGAACTCCTAATTCCTCCCTGGATCGAACGCAATGTTGCTTGGGTAGTTGGTCTCTGGGTATCTGGGCTGATGGCCCCTAGATGTAGTTGGCTCTGCTGCTGCCTCTGACTTGGAGGCCTCTGCATTCTTCCCCTACTGCTATGGTCTGACCCGAAGCATTTCCCACCCATTAGACCACTCTGTGTTTCTGAATGAATGAATGAATTTTGAATGAATCTCAGGTTTAAACCTTCCCTCTGCTCCACCATCTCTTTCCACTCCTTCCAAACCTATCTTTTCCGAGTTATTCCTGTTCCATCATTAATCAGCTAGACAGGACAGGGGAGAAGCGGACGTTGGTGATGGAGAGTGTGAGGGTGGGCAGTGGGGTGGAGTGTCATTGTCATGGTGAGGGGTCACCATAATTCTAATAAAGTAATATAACCTGGTAGAATATTAAGTGTCACTTTGTTATTTATTCTCTCTTATTAGAAAAATAATGGCCAGACGCGGTGGCTCACGCCTGTAATCCCAGCCCTTTGGGAGGCCGAGGTGGGTGGATCACAAAGTCAGGAGATCGAGACCATGGTGAAACCCCATCTCTACTAAAAATACAAAAAATTAGCTGGGCGCAGTGGCAGGCACCTGTAGTCCCAGCTACTCGGGAGACTGAGGCAGGAGAATGGCATGAACCTGGGAGGCAGAGCTTGCAGTGAGCTGAGATTGCACCACTGCAGTCCAGCCTGGGTGACAGAGCGAGACTCCATCAAAAAAAAAAAAAAGAAAAATAATGTATTATAAACAAGTTAGAATAGAAAAAAGAAAAGACAATCATTCCACTATCCTAACCCAATTTCTATTAACATATTGGTATACATTTCTTCTACTGTTTTCCCCATTCATAATAATTTAACTTGTAAAACACAATTTTTAAAAAGGTTTACTGTTTCTTCTATTGGAGAATTTACCGAGTTCCAAATATATGTAAATCACGTGCTAAGCACCATGGAGATATGAAAGATAAATCAGATATACTTCTTATCCTCCAGAAACTTTCGACCTAGAGGGAGAAAAAGACTTTTACATAAATATGTAAAAGGTAGCAAGTGATAAAGGCCATAACAGAGAGAGAGAAAAATGGCTCTAGGGAATCACATATCTGTAGTGTCACCTTAAAACAACTGGGAATCACATGCCAGCATGTTAAGTCATCAATAATGTAAGTACTGAATGCCAAGTCATTAATAGCAATATTTCCTGTTTTATTTTTCCCATTCAACATCAATTTTCTGGGTATTACGTTTTATTTATTTATTAAACCAAGTCATTTGAAACCTTTAAAATGTGAAAAATTTCCTGATTCACACTGTAATGCTCTATTGCTTTTAGATGTCATTTTCTGAGCTTATAATATATTCATACACTTCTACTCAGATGACTTAGTATGGCTGATGTAAAAGATATTAAGAAATCCTATATTGTGGCATGCAGTAAAACTGCATAATAGTCCTGTATATCTCATGTAAACCCAAATCATCTTCTGTCAGAAACTGCTCCATCAAAAGTATTTCTATTCTTCCCACACTCTAAAAAGAGATTCAGTGGCTCTAAAATCTTTTTCAAAGCATGATCTTTTTGTTCTTTCATGGGAGTGAGGGTGCCTATAGTTTTCAAACTAAATAGCATTTGCAATCACTTTGTGTGGTTCTAAATTATATCAAATATGTTTGACCTTGGACTAGAGAAATGTTTCATCATGTTTACCAATTTTTTATGCAAAATGATAAAACTGCTGGATGTGGCTCATAAATATTTTATTAGGTGTTATATATGTATTAAACTAGAGAGGTGTCTTATTTTCATGAATTTATTACAATTTAAGTAGTAGAATAATAAAAATTTGCATTTAAATAATTCTTTTCTCCTGGGAACTG